GCTAGTCAAATTCTCTGAAATCAGAATTTATCTTAAAATTTGTAGTATATTATAGTTTATTTGACCACAGTATTCTTTTCTTGGAGGAATATCAAGTAATGAGCTGTCTTATGGTCAATGTTGTCTTAGATTCAATAATCTATAGAGTAACAGCAATAAAAGGAGAGAAAAGATATGGACATTGCGGAAATAGAATTCCACAAATTTGTGTGAAGTAAGTTTGAAACATTTTAAAACCTCCCCACCGATCTTTAGAATCTTTTATAATTTTTAAATGAACAATTAACAATTTGTATTAGTGATAAAAAATTATAAAGGTGGGAGTTGAACATTTGCAGTTTATATGTGAAGGGGTAGGCGGTCTTTGCAAAATAATCCTGTAACAATTAACACCATGGTTTTTTTTACAGAAAAGAAAAAAATTTTCTTCCAAGGTTGTTCTGTGAGGCATAGAAGCATTGTTTGCATCTTAAAAGGAAGAAGAAAGGGGAAGGTTCTGCATTTGTATAAAAATAATTTTTGCTGGTCGTTCTTGACCATAGCTGAAAAGCATAATCTTAAAATAATGTGTTGGTACCTTCCTGTATTTGAAAAGAATAACTGAGTTAATTAACATATATATATATGTGTATAGAGATTTCCCCTGAAGAAGACCCTGAGAAATGGACATGAGTGCAGGTAGTTTTTTTAGAGGATGAACCCATGAAGCGCTAGTGAGAGAATGGGGAATGTGAGACAAGAAAGGGAGAAAAGCCAATAATGTGTATATTAATAAGCAGAATAATGCAGTGAGCAATTACAATTCAGTACCACTAGGAATCTTCTAATTACTGCGTAGGACAAACCTCAGTATTGTTCCACTGAGGGATGGGGAAGCTGAGTTCCTTAAACGTTGACTTCCATCTCTCATTGACTGAGTTGAGGGTTGCCTTCCCAACCCTCCATGCGCTGAATCACCAGCACTTCTGAGATGCCAGGCAGGCATATGGGCCGAGGAAGCTCTGTCAGCTCCAAAGTCCTCAGGCAGCAAAACAGAGGTCGGAAGTGTTCATTGTGCTTAACAACTGACCACCAAGCTGTAGCTGGTGGTCTAGGAAGCTGTGGGAGGTTCATCAGCAGCATCCACTGCACAGATATGTACAGAAAACCCCCGGTACTTTTTGCAACTATGAATAAGTGAAATTAGCTTTCCTGGAGGTGAAATATAAGTTATAGTGTTTTACTACCTTAATGCCTTTGGAAAATCTGCAGTTTTGTTTCCCTGTTGTACTAGTTAGATTACAAAGTTAGAGTATATGACCAATTCAGTTACACTGACTATATAATTTGAGTAATGATATATTTATGTGTGAGTGAGATTATATCAAGATTAACGTTCATGTTATCACTACTGAGTCCATCATGGCTGTTAAGTCATTTCTTTATAATTTTCTGTTTTCTTTTCTTCTACATTTTGGTGACCAGTTAGAAAAATATAATATTGAAAAGATGCATCATGAAATCTTTCTCCATTATACACAAACATGGGTAAGAGATGGGATCTTATTCAAAAAGAAGAAAATCTGCCATTTCAAGCTGTGCATATGTCATAGGAAGGATTTTGATTTATGGTCTGTCTCATTCTTTTGGCAATATGTAGTATAATCTGTTCTCGGTGCAAAAGCAATTATTGCTATCAATTATTGATACAAATTTCCTTCAAGTTTAAAGATTACAGTATTTTGTAAGATTAATAAGGCATTGTAATGGAATCTGAAAGAACACTTTATAGTAAATTTATAAAACTTAATATGGCTATATTTTATTCCTACCATTGTATAATGCTATCATTTACATTATGTTGCTAGACTGGAGATTTACATTTTAAATAATTTATTTACAGACCTTAATTGCATCTTCAATAGCAATTTCCCTTTATTTTGGATAAAGCTTTCCAGGAATGAAAATTTTGTCTTTCCATACTTTAGGTTCATCATTTATTGTTTCATTTCACAGCGTATAAAAGTTAGCCAACCTTAATGACACAAACTCTCCTTAAATGGGCAGAATAATGATTTAGATTTGATTTAGTTCAAGTGTATAAAATGAAGTGTATTGCAAGGCCAGTAGGTTCCTCTTGAGAATTCAACGAGAACAATTGTTGGGTCTACAGTCCAGATGTTACTCAAGGACAAACTTCTATTTTCTAGCATAAGGAAAAAGAAAACCATGGCTGTGAAAAGGCCTTTTATTTTGACACAACACGGTTTCATACTAAAAGGTTGGAAGGCAGCATAAAGACCAATACTGTCTTCATGGCCCTGACAAGTTACCTAACCTCCCAGAGCCTCAGTGTGATCATCAGTAAAATAAGAATAACGAGGCCAACTCCATACAGTTTTATGAATATTAAATGAAGTAATGCATGTTAAGTGCTTAGCAACATACCTGGTAGATGGAAAGTCTCAGTAAATGATAATTGAGAAAATTAAAGATTAAAAGACTGAAATGATTTAATCTAGAGAAAAGAAAGAGATGACATTTAATGCTAATCTTTAGGTTTTTGAAGATTGTCAAATAAAGGTTATTGACTAAGTATAAGTCAACTACAAATTTAAAAGGAAGGCTCAATTTCAGCGTAAGAAAAAATGACCGTACAGAATTGAGAAAGACTCGCTGTCTGCTTTTCTCGGGAAGTTTTGAAGAATATTACTATTTTCTCTAAAATTGATTTCCTGTGGCTGTCTTCCTACAATAGTGTGATACCCAACCATGTAACCCGGGAATATTCATTCTGTACTTTAATTTACCCTCATAGCTTGTTCTGTGATTTTCTTGATTTAAATTTTAGAGTTCATAGATAACCATACTCTTGGAGTACATCGTATGGTCTGTTTCCTTAGTAGGAAACCAGACACCCAGTAAACTTTCACATATTTGCATACTTGAGATTAACTCACAGGCCGCATAATATTGATGAGGTTAGCTCTTATCACTACAAAGAATCTATTTTAATCTTTTAAATAATGTTATTGTGTCCTCTGCTGTTAGAGGTTAAAAGGACAGAGTGGAATCCTAATTCCAATACCAATTCAGTTTTCCCATCTGTGAAATGAGAATAACATTAGTACCTTAATAGGGTACTTTTGAGAATTAAGTGAAATAACATATGTAATTTGCAAAGAGTCCTAGTTTATTTTCAGCAGTCGATCATTTAGATTATTATTAGTTTTATTTTTACTCCAGTTATTTTATAAACTATACAGCTGCTTCCTCTGGCTATAATACATAATATAAAGAAAACCCTTCCTCTCCTGTTCCTCAAACATAAAAGTACTAAGTTATGACACCATGTTTGTGTTTGTTCCACAGTATTTATTGAGCATTCAGGCTGATGAGACACCACACAGAGAAGAACAGAACTATACTAACGATCCACACACAACTTGTGTAGGATTCCCGTATGTTTTCTCTCAGATGATTTTTCTCATTCTGTGTGTATGAATATATTTTTAAAATTTTGTTGAATATCTGTTCAAGTGATTGTGCTAGGCATTGTGTAGGAATCAATGAGTTGAAAAAGAAAGCATCTGTCCTCGGAGATAATATTTGTATCATGGGAAAAGACATGGATAACTCAATAAAAATACAATAGCTCTCAAAATTGTCATATCAATAGTGTAGAAAATACATGCTCTATATCCAGATGGAAAAAGATAATTGTGGATTCCAAGAGTTTTGGTGTTTTGCTCTTTGTACTCATAATAACACCTTACAAGCTTATTTTTAAGAATCATTACTTTGTTTTATTAAATAACACAATTTACTAAAAAAAATAAGCAATATGGAAGAGTGAAAAAAAGTCATATGTCTCTCAAAATCCTGTCTCTCATAGACAACTGTTGCTAACCATCGATGAGATTATTTTGAGTAATAATACAGGGCAGGCTGTGATTGTTTAAAAATGAGATTATAGGGGGCGGCCCCGTGGCGCAAGAGGTTAAGTGCACGCACTCCGCTGCGGTGGCCTGGGGTTCGCCAGTTCGGATCCTGGGCGGGCAGCGATGCACCACTTGTTAAGCCATGCTGCGACGGCGTCCCATATAAAGTAGAGGAAGAGGGGTACAGATGTTAGCCCAGAGCCAGTCTTCCTCAGCAAAAAAGAGGAGGATTGGCATCGGAAGTTAGCTCAGGGCTGGTTCTCCTCACAAAAAAAATAAATAAATAAAAATAAATAAATAAAAATGAGATTATACTCTACATGCTATTTTTAAATAATTTATTTTAAATTAATATAAAGTAAAATTGAAGGACATTAATTTTCAGATAAAAATTTCTTTACTCAAATACTTTCTAAATTATTTATTACTGTTTAGGGAGAATGATCTTACAAAAAATAGTAAAAGAATGGAGTCACTTTTTAAATTCAAGTTTCAAATTTAGGCAGTATTAAAGGACTAAACTTCATGAAAGATGAGGTTAGTTCTTTATACTTTCTCCTCCTCAAATGCTCAGTTTTCTCATTCTATGATTACCTTTATTTCATCAAGATTTTTACCATTTGCATTTTGTCATGCAATCGTAATCCCCTCAATATTTAGTCTTTGTTCTATAGGTACATGTATTCAACTTAGCAAGATGAAAAGATCAGCAATACAAATTCGATTAGCCATCCTGTAGCCCAGCACCCTAATCCCACAGAATATCCCTTCCATTCTACAACAAACCCTCTCTCTTATTTCTGTGGAGCATCTTAGGTTCACATTTGCACAGTGAGTACAATGTGGACTCACACAAAGCATGACTGTGCTGCATGTGAAGCATTACTTTCATCCTATATGATTATGATGGGGATGATATGAACTATATTATTGGTCTCTGGTATAAGCAAAGTAATATATTACTTAAAGAATACATGAAAAATTTTGAGAAATAATGATATAAACTGCTGTTAGCATTTCAAATATAAGAAAATTAATACATTATTTTCTTTTTTTCCAGAAAATACAAAAGACATCATAATGATATATGAAGAAGAGGCTGAGGAATGGGCTCTGTACTTGAAGGAAATTTTTTTACATGTTGTGAAAAGGGAAGCAATCCTGTTATATCACTTGGAGAATTACTCTCTTCAGGATTTTGAATTGCTGAGTTTAAACTCTTACAAATGTAAACTTTTGATATTATCGAGTAGCCTGCTTAAAAACCTAACTCGAAAGAAATGTCAGTTTTTGGAAAAGGTACTGCATTCACCAGAAAGTGTGGTTACTCTGCTGTGTGGGGTGAAGAGTTCAGATCAGCTCTATAAACTATTAAATGTCTCCGGAGGCAGATGGGAGATCTCAACTGAGCAGGAGCCTGACGACTACATCTCTGTCATCGAGAGCATCATATTCAGAGGTAGTGTGGTTGCCAAATCTTCCTTATTTGTTTGTTTTTTTATAATTAAAAAATCTAAAGTTTTTTGAACCAATGAATATCTGATGTTAGGATGAAAAAAAAATGAAAGCCAACTTTATTTAATTAACAGTATATTGCACTTTCCTCAAAATGCATGAAGATTCTTAATTTTTAGCTATATTCCAACCAAGCCTTATCAGTTGTTCTAAAAATGGTTTATAAATATATTCCTTAGGGAAGCCTGTCTGAGATGACACTTGGTGAAACAAGTATGGTGTGCGGTGCTCTGGGTTGGTTTGGTTGTGGAAGCTGGCTTTACTGTCACCAGTCAGTAGCAGTCCAAGGTTTGAAGGTCTGGGTTAGAATTGTAGAACTTTTGTTGTGCTGATAATTCTATGATATATATTACTATGGTGTAAAATACTGTTATTTTTATTAATTTGAAATTTCAAATTTAGTTTTAATCACGTAGACATATGTTAAAGAGCAGAATGCAAGGTCCCATTCATTAATTAATTACAGTTTTATGTACAGTCAAACTCTAATGCTTACAGCTTCTCGCTCCCCCAGCTCTGTTCTGCTTCAGTCTGGGGATGGAAGGGGTGCTGTGGTCAGCTGCTCCCCTGGTGTTCTCAAGCTGCGTTTTACCTTTGACTCCCAGTGTTCCAGCTATGGTTTCCTCTCCTACGGGGAAGAGGTGGGGTTCTTATTTTCTACTGGTCCTATCAGATATTGACTCTTTTTCTTGGAGCATGTTTCTGGATTCTTTGGGGATCCCCTCCTTCACTGGGGATGCCTCACCTGCAGTTCCTTAATGAGACACGTGTCCTCTCCTCTCAGCTCCTAGTTGTGGTGGTTCACCCAGTATAGATTCTTCCTGTTGATTGCTACTGCTCCCTCATGTGTCTCTTTTGATCAGAATCACACTGACATGTCTCCCGGCTGACCCTTTCTCCCACCTGGCTCATATCTGTCTGTAAAAATGTTTGTCTTTTGCCCTGACAAACTCTGGGCATGCAAACCACTTCCAGCACAGCCACCACCATCCTGCCCTCAGAGCAGTAATGCAGTCACAGCCTTCTTCCTTTAGTCATTTCCAAACATGGGTCTAGTATGAGTTTGGTGTTAAATCCAGAGAACACATATTAATCCCAAATGGCTTGCTGGAAACCCTTGTCACCATGCTTGAGGATGGTGGTATTCCTCAGTCCTCCCCGCGGGGGTGGTGGGACTCACCGCACTCCGACGACTATCTTGAAAAAGTCCTCTTCTATTTTCTAGCATTCCAACCTCTTCACAGTCAATACTTTTTAAGCCTTGTTTTGGTTATCCATTGTTGCATAACAAGTTACCCTAAAATTTAGGAACTTAAAACAACAAATAATGATTATATCATAGTTTCCACTGTCAAGGAATCTAAGAGTGGCTTAGCTGGGAGGTTCGGGATCAGGGTGTCTCATGAGGCTGCAGTCAAGCTGCCCAGAGCTACAGTTATCTGAAGGCTCCACTGTCCATCTGGGGAGGATGTGCTTCCAACAGGAGCTTACATTGTTGGCAAGTTTGTTATTGTTTTTTTTAATCATCTCTTGGCTGCACGCAGGTCACCTCTAATAGATTCCTGAGGAAGGTCAATTGGAAGCAATGTTTCTGAAATCTTGCATGTTCAAAAGTATTTGTCTCTTGCCTTATACTTGAAGTGCCGTTTGGCTGCGGACCACATTACTCTTCTTTCTTTTAGCATTGTAGAATTTAGGGAATTCTTATTTGCCTGGCTGACTAAAGGATTCTTCATTTATATTTGTAGTCTGATGAATTCGCAAGAACTTTATCCTGGTGGTGACTGTTCTGGACTATTTTGCCCCAGGACGTGGTTGGTTTTGTGTTTGTTTTCCTTTTTTTAGTCTTTTCCCCAACGTGTAGACTCAAGTCTTCTCTTATTTCAGGAACAATTTCTTGTCTTATGTCTTTAAATATTTGCTCTATCTTATTACTATACTATTTTTCAGGGATTCCTTTTACATATATGTTGGATTTCTTTTTTCTGTGGTACACTCAACCATTTCTCTCCAATTCTTTTCAATTATTTATTAACATCCATTTATTTAGTGTGCATTGATCACTTCAGTCCTTGCTGCCTTCTTACGCTTTCAGTACTCCCTCTCCCCTGGATTACTTCCAGTTTCTCCTTCGTTTTTATGCTGTTTCTACTTGTTTCCATTATTCCGTTTGGTCGAGCACTAGAAGCTTGTTCTTCTCTTTCTAACCTCTCCCTGACAACTTGCATTTCTGCACTGTTTAATTGCTTCAGAAAGGTGATTGCTAGTCATTAGAATTTAAAAATTCATGGTGAAATTTTTGGTTACAATTTTCAACTTCTCTCATGGCAACATGTTTTTAGTGCGTACTCCCCATATGCCATTGGTTTTCTTTTACTATCTCTTTCTCTTTATCTTATAGTACAGTAGGCTTCCCTTATCCAGAGGGATACGTTCCAAGAACCCAGTGGATGCCTGAAACTGTGGAAAGTACCGAACCCTATATATCCTATTTTTTTTCCCTATACATACATACCTATGAGAAAGTTTAATTTATAAATTAGGCACAGTAAGAGATTAACAACAATAATAATAAAATAGAACAATTGTAACAACATACTGTAATAAAAGTTTTATGAAAGTGGCCTCTCTCTCTCTCAAAACATCTTCTTGTACTGTACTCACCCTTCTTGTGAGGATGTGAGATGATACAATCATATGTGATGAGATGAAGTGAGGTGAATGACGTAGGCGTTGGAAAGTAGCGTCTGGGTGGGACGGAGCCGGATGGCGCGAGATTTCATCACGCTGCTCAGAATGGCACACAATTTAAAACTTATAAATTGGTTATTTCTGGAATTTTCCATTTAATACTTTCAGGCCACAATTGATCGTGGATAACTGAAACTGTGGCAAGTGAAACTGCAGATAAGGGAGGACTACTGTATCTTTATATAGACCCTATGCTTGTCCAGTTTTTCTTTTGTATCACTGAACAAAGTGAATTTTCCTTGGAGGTAGGCAATGTGAATTTTGTTGTTTATTCTGTTTTGTATTTTTTTTCCCACAATGAAAGACTTTACTTTTCTGCTTCCACAGATATAGACTGCTTTCTATAAATAAGTCTTTTCTGTATAGCTCCTCATTTAGCCTCACTTTCTCTGCTTTTTGGAACTAAACTCCTTCCACAGACACTGCTACCTGAAACTATTGCATCATGTCTACAATTAAAAAGGCATGGCCCCTAGCCTTAGAGGAAGGTATTTTTGTTAGCTCTTTTTTGAAATTTGCAACTTCTGGATTATTTCTTCAAGCTTTCTCTTCTGTTTCCTCCTGCACACCCTTCTACTCATTCATCATTGATTTTGGAACCATCCCATTCATCTGGAGGTCTAGGATTTCACTGGTTCCTATTTTCAATAAATAAGGCATTTGCATTATTGTTTCTCATTCTCTGTGTTTTGGGATGATTTCCAGGAACAAAAAGGGGGAAATATTGACTCTACACCAAATTTTCAAACTGGCAGTCCTCAAGTTTCTTATGATCTCTATTTTTTTATAGTATTCCCCAAGTACATTAAGTTTTTTTTGTTGAAAAGGAAAAATGTTCAATTGGAGATTATGAAAAAATTACAATAAAGAACACATGAAGTACAACTAATTGTATGCTGATTTTCTCCCCTGAGACAGAGAAGTACTAAAAATTGGTGGCGAAATTTTGAGTGGTTCTTCACACCTATCATTTCTATTTCTTGAAGAACTAAAGTTGTTTTGGCCGCTTAAATTATGATGTCACTATGATGAAAAAATACTGAGGAAATGCTTTTTTTTGTTTTGCTTTAGTTGCTTTGTTTTATGATGAGTACTTTTGGGTGGCTATGTCAGTGGTATTCTGCTATATCTTCAAATTATATTCCCATTGATATTTGATAGGAGAAAAGCTTACACTTTATGGACAAAAGAGGACTATTTTGACAACAGTATTAGCTCTCCTCTTCCCACATTCAAGTTTTAGACTCTGATTCTTATGGTAACTTAGATGCACCTACCAAATAAAAAATATAACAATGTTGTGTGGGAAAAGATGTTCAAAGATGATAAATTTGTCTGAGCTACAAGAATGCAAAAAAAAATGTCAACCTATAAAGAATTTCCAAATCATGCATAAAATAACTTCTGTGTCTGGGTAGTGTCCCTTGACAAAATTGGTGCCAATTGCTACAGTCTGTGCAATAATGAATTTTGTTTTAATAAACAGCTTAAGTGTTTTGCAAAATTATTTTATGTTTCATATTGACATTCAAGTTGAATACGTAAAGTCTGGTTTTTAAAAAAAGGGGGAAATTCAGTTTTTACTGTCCATTTTCTACTTTCCTTCAACCCATAGAGAAATTGTGCAAAGAAGAAAGGAAGCTTATTATTCAGAAACATGACATGATAAAGAGAATAATAAAAATGCCAAGAAAGTCATGGAAATAATTAAATGTTCTAATATATTCAAATAAGAAAGAAAAATCAGAGGAAATTTTATAAAACTTAATGAAAGAGAAAGGTGTTTTACAATTAATCAAGGCTCCAGAGAAAAGTTTTTAATGTTAAAAAAAGATGAAAAAAGATACAATAATTCATGTTTAATCTGAGTATTTTATTTCCTTTTAAGAAATTAAGAAAGCTAAATTCCCTGTCTCCTTAATTCCCAAATTGGGAGTAATACAAATTCGTATGTGTTTTCCACCTTTCTGTGTGTGGTATTACCACTTTGACTGTATTTCTTCCTTTTTCTGTCTTATATTTCTTTCTTTCTTTTTGAATCTTTACCGCATTTTCTTCTTCTGGTTTTCCACATGTATAGGTTTTATACGGCATTGTTTATATGTAATATAAATTATTTGATCTCAAATTTATATAAATCAGCTAACTTTCCTGAATGTCACCATTGTATACTTTGTTGTTTGTCAAGTCCTC